CTTTCTTTCTTTCTTTCTTTCTTTCTTTCTTTCTTTCTTTCTTTCTTTCTTTCTTTCTTTCTTTCTTTCTTTCTTTCTTTCTTTTTCTTTTTTGCCAAATAAAAGCTATGATAGCCACTACAGGTACCCTGAGCCCTTGTTTGTATACCTGTTGACTTCAAAGTCTCCTTCAGTGACTCCCCTGGATGTCTCTGACTGAGTGGAGCCTGCCTTATGTGGAAACTACAGAACCCCTTTGAACTGTGCCCAGCCTATGACCCGCACTGCTAACAGAAGAGGAGCCTCTTATTCTGACCTGCACTGAATGGGTACTCAGCAGGTGGCAGAACTAATGGACATGGGCAAGGGGGAAGGAGAGGAAGGGGTGGTCTGCAGGAGCAGGGTATGGGTGACTTGAGACCAGTATGTCTCCCAAATGATTGCTAATGCAGGATCAATGACTTTGGGCTGCTAAATCAGGTTTATTTCATTTTATTATTTTTATTCTTACCAGACTGGGTTTTAATCTAGAGGGCCTCACCCTCTCTCAGCTACATGCCCAGTCTATAGGTTGTTTTCATAGACAAACAGTTTTTAAAGTTTTCAACATTTATTTATTGTGTGGTATGTGCGTGTGTGCACCTATGTTCATGAGCTTGTTATCATGGCATGCATATTGAGGGCGTCCAGAGGGCAACTTGAGGGAATCGTTTCTCTCCTTCCAGGTTGCAGAGCCTGTACCAAGTGAGTTTGCCCACTGATCAGATTTTATTCACAGTCAAATCGGGAGGAAGGCATGGCCTTTACCCACACTCCATGCCTGGCAGAAACACAGTCTTCTCCTCATGTCTGTTTCTCAGGAGCAGGTCTCACAATGGATGAGCCTGTACTGAGGTGTCACATCATCCAAAGTCCAGCTTTGCCTGCCTTTGGGTTCACTGCTGCATGTATAACAACACATACTCATCATTATAGTTTCATACAACATATATATGCATAAATGGCTCTCTCTCTCTCTCTCTGTCTCTCTCTCTCTCTCTCTCTCTGTCTCTCTCCCTCTCTCTCTGTCTCTCTGTCTCTCTCTCTGTCTCTCTGTCTCTCTCTCTGTCTCTTTTTCTCTCTGTCTCTGTCTCTGTCTCTCTCTCTCTCTCTCTCTCTCTGTGTGTGTGTG